ATGGATTTATTACCTGTGAAGTATACCAATCAAGTCAATTTTGGATGATATGTGATCAGTTCCGTGAATGGTTTCATAATGATTTTGTACCATAAGTTCAAGAGCAACTGAAGTCACTAGGCGAGGAACCAAAAGCTGTGTTGATTTTAGATAACTGTTCTGCTCATCCAGAACCAGAAGTTTTTGTAAGCACAGATGGTGCAATCTATGCTGAGTTTTTGCCAACAAATGCTACTTCTTTAGTACAGTGAATGGACTAAGGCGTTTTTCAAACTGTCAAGAAGAAAAGTTACTGCAAAAGCTTACTGTAGCGGACGATTTAGGAAAATCTATTGTTGATTTCTGAAAGGAAATTAACTGAAAAGTTGTTGTTCATATGCATGAGGCTTGGACTGAAATAAAGGGACACTTCATAAGTATAGGAGAAAGATCATTCATCTGTCACCAAGCATACCAGAGTTAGCAAAGCTGTACTACCAATTTCTAGAGGAAGATGAAACGTCTGCTCTGCCCCCTGTTCCTACAAAATCCATAGTATATGGTTCTTTGCGAGGAATAAGAATTTGAATTAATCTTGCTTCAGAAGTTGAATCATTTGATAATGACGGCATAATCGATGATTTTGATGATGATATATCTGCTGAGAGCTTCGCCACCTATTTCGAGGAAATTGGCCTAAAATTAGGGGATGAAGAACTTGAGAAGTGGCTAGGAACTGATAACAATGACTCTGGCATGCAATTGTTTACAGATGATGAGATTTGTTACATTCTGATATTGAACCATAGCAAGAAGATGAATATACTAAAGATGAGGATACTGAAGATGAACAACTGGCATGTTTAGTGCAACACAGTGAGGCAGGTGAAATGTTTGAGTAATGTATAGGCTGGCTTGAACATCAACCAGAGGCTACTGTGTATAGTACAACATTATTCAGAGAATTACAAGTATTTGCTATCAAAAAGAGAATGGAATGCATTGTTCAAAGTAAAATAACTAAATATTTTAAATAAATAGGACACAAGTTCTTTTAAAACTGACTTATCTCTATTTGTCCCTTTATTATGTATATAGTCTTGCGTCTGGTTACACAAGACTAATGCAGTATACTTGTTCATGCATAAATGGTTGAATTAATAAAAAATATTTTAAAAATAAAACAGCAATTACAACAGGCTACACTGAGTACTGTATTTATTCAGTAATCTTCAGTTCAGCTAACAATGCTTGAATCCATTCATACATGAGTTGAATTTGAGCTGACTAAGTGAGTTTGTCAATTTCACAACAGATCTTACAAATATGCTGCTTGCTTCCACAAAATATGTAGCTACACGGTACCTCAAGGCCCACTCCTTTTCTCCTGTTACCAGTAACAAAGCATGTTATTGCTCCTCCATCACCTTAAAAGTTCCAAAAATACATTGACAAGTTTTATGGTACACGTCCAACAGTCGTAACTTCTTTTTTATTATTACAGCAAATTGATCATATTTGTTGCCAAATTCCTGTTCTAAGTGTTGTTTTTCACCCATGAATGGTGTCCACATCTTATATACATGCAGGGGCGGATCTAGGGGTGGGCCAGGGTGGGCCAGGCCCACCCAAAAATTTTGTGCAGTAATTTAAAATCAACTTTTTCATGTGGATTACTATGTAAACTGTGAAGCATAACTATTCAAACAATTTTTAAACCACGAAGGAGCTCATTTTAACAGCTTTATTCTTCAAAATTTTGACTCTGAATGCTGGCTTTGTTGGCCACACCCACTAATTACCACACAGAAATCATCAAGGCCCACCCAAGAATCTAATCCTAGATCCGCCCCTATATACATGGTGACTTCGAATAACACTGTATCTCAAAGCAGATGTTCTCATTTGCTGGGGTAGCCATATAATATTAAGTTTGCGTGGGTGAAACCACACCCATTTCAATTATCCGGACTTTTAACTTATCCGGACCCATCCGGATAATCAAATGGGCAAAGGGGTCTGGATAATTGAGGCTATACTATATTACTATGCTTTACAGGTAATGATAGCTGGAAAGGATTTGATGATTATTTAGCAATATTTTGATTGCTTCATATTGGAATGTGCAATACAGTGGAACCTCCGAATAACGAAACTTTTGGGACACAAGAGTCTTTTCATTAAATAGAGGTTTTCATTAAAGGGAAGTTTTGTAAATGAGGCATCCCCAATGTGAGACTATACCTTCTTATAAAAAATGAGGGGCAGTAGACAGCTGAGTAAGCTGGGTAATAAATTGCAGAACAAGAAAAGAGAATAAGAAAATAAGTTTGCAGAATATGTTTCAAAATGAAGGAAAGGCTATTAAAGGCAATTATCTGTGCTCCTGGATAGTAAGAGGGCAAAAAAAGTGACAGAGCATAATGTGAGGAGAAGAAAGACGCAATTTTTAAAGCGGGTGGGTCTCTTTTTAATTGATTATAATATCATATGACGTCACAGAACTAGTGCTCATGCGTGGCCACGCCCACTTTTATTAAATAGAAGTAAAATGGCATCTTGGTTCGAAAAAAGCTTTCGTTATTTCGTAAAAGAGAAGTTTTCGTCAAAGGGAGGTCCGTTTTAATTGAAAAACTAGGAAAATGAGTTGGTACATTAATTTTTTGTCATTATAAGGAGGTTTTTGTTAAAGAGAAGTTCCGTTATTAGAGGTTCTACTGTATAGCATTAGCATTAGTTGTAACATTATTTTAGCCTTGTTTTGTAGATAGTATTAAAAGTTTAATGTTAGATTTCTAAATGTAATAATTACTTTTGTAGATTATGAATGGCGGCACTGTGCATGTTCGTCTACATATTCAATATGTCTATAATAATGATTATAAGGTAAGATTTAATTTCTTAAATCATGCAATATGATTATGTGAATTTTTCATCTAGTATTATTCAAAGAAACTAAAGGGAATAAGCATTTATGTCTTGTCAGACACTTGGCTATGCTAATGTATTTTCATCCTGGCTTTACGCTGATGCATTTTTAATTGACAAATTGATTATTTCTTAAGATTTATTATTATAATGCAAAGTTTCTAATAAAAGTTATAGTTATTGATTGAGGCCCCTCGGGACCTTGGCCTACGGCCCTTACCTCCGCGTCTTCCAGCTCACCTTGGTTGGTTTGTATACTATTACAGAAAATGAATATAGTATTAAGTACATCATAGTAAAAATTTAGTATTTGTCTGTTCACAGCCCTCAGCTGGGCAATTATGTGCTGCTTTTGCTGTTGCAGCAAAGGCAGTCTTGGGGCTCTTCCAGGAAGGGGCACTGGGTGCTCCTCCAGGAGGGAGTATCGGCAGGCCTCCATCTACTGGAGGTGAAGGTGGCGGGCCTTTAGCTCTTAGGAGTGCTGGAGGTGGTGGTAGAGGTAGCCTGCCTAGTGGTGGTGGCAGTGGCGGGTCTAATGGAGGTGGTGGTGGAGGCCCTCCATTTCAAGGTACTGGAGGTGGCGGACCTCCAGTTACTGGTAGAGCTGGTTGTGGTAGCGGTCCTCTGGGAGGTGATGGTGGAGGCCCCTCCATCTCCATCTACTGAAGGTGGCAGACCTCCATCTATTGGTGGAGCTGGTGGTGGTGGCAGGCCTCCGGGAGGTGGTGGTGGTGGAGGCCATCCAGCTAATGGCAGTCCGCCATGATGCTCATCATAATCCATATACTACCAAACAATATGAAAATATAATGATAGCTAATGTAATTTTCTAAATGAACTGACTTGCTTCTTTTTGAGAACAAAGGTTGCAAAACTGCAGAAAAAGTTAAGAGATATGAGTGTGAGTGAAGAAATAGTAACTGAAACTGAATGTAAACTTAAAATGTTTTAGAGCAGGAAATAAATCTTAGTAATGTTGAATAATAATTAATAAATATGAGTTATTATAGGCTATGAAAATAATTAATGATTCAAAAATTCAAAAAAAAGTAATTGTATGACAACTGTTTTTATAATGCGGTAGGTCTTCTTACAGTTTTTATTTCAAAAATACTTTCTTCCAGCAATGAACTGATACCTAAGGCAAAAATTGTAATTATTTATAAAAAGGATTATTAATTAATTAATAATGATAAATAATTATAAGCTAGGCTATGAATATAATTAATGATTCAATAATTCAAAAAAATTAATGTCAAATTATTTAAAAGTTTTATGAAGAATAATAAAAACAATAATTATTAATAATTTTCTAAATTAATTATTAAATATTAATACTTAATGATAATAAGGATTATTAATTAGTAAAATGTATTAAAAAGTATGGAAACAAGTAAATAAAAAATTTCTATTAAGTAAGAAAAAGTAGGGTTGTCAAAAAGTAAAAGAAACAATGGCGTTGAGTTCAACCATAACAATAATCTGTCGATGAATAATAATAATTGTTAATTAATAAAAAATAATTCATAAAAATATTACAAAGATTTTTAAGCCCTACTTTGCAGAATTTTAAGGAGTATTGTTTCCTTTATAATGACTAACATTAATGGAAGAATGATAACAAAACTGCTTAGGATACATGTTCTAAAAATAAATACAATTACAGTAGACATCTTACCGTGGCTCAGCCCTTGGTAGTTCAAAGTCAGTAAGGAGATATCTATAAAAGGTACAGCTGTTTGCAGATCATTTTAAAAGCTAGGACAATCCTGTCTTTTGAATGCCACAATTGCAATACTTGTCATAAATATTAAATGTTGTGCTCCATAACATATTGCATTTTCACAACTGTCTTAAAAATGTTGTAATTTATATATCAAAATATAAAAGTCAACTTAGTCAAACATAAATTCACTGGCAAGCAATGAATTGCTCTCTAGGTGGTTAATGGGACTCCTATATGATGTACTATTTATCACTGTCCTCCAATGAGAAACCCTTCTTCAATAAATACTATGTATACAATAAGTAATTTATGAGAGTGGGCGGATCCTGAATGATGGAAATATAGTAAAAGAGAGTCACAGGATCAATTCAGTGATGCATGGATGTAAGTACAAGAAAGGAAAACTAGAAAAAGAAATCATAAAGACATTGTCATATTGGTGGGGTTGGTTGTAAATAATGTTTCTTAAATTTAAGCACAAACCTGTCTTTTGAGTTTAATGATTAATTCAGGCTCCAAAATATATGCATATGGTATATCTACCAATATTTAATTGCACTGCAACTGTCCTACAAAGGCAAATGTTTTTAAAAAATAATGCATAGGTACACTTGCCACCTCCATTTACTGAAACGCACAATTTACATATTCATAAGGTTGATTTTACAAAAAATAAGAATCTGACAGAGTAATAACTAGTTTACTTTGCTCCTTGTACTCTACATTGCTTAAAATATCAGCTCACGGCAGATAAATTTATGGTACTCCAAGTCCCTCATTAGCAGCCATTTTCATGAGCCACACCTATTTCCGTTGCAAGGAAACTGCTTCCGGCAATTGACGGTTGCATTTGGGCTGTATCATGTAAAAAAAATTGTCTGTGCTCTGCTACCAAATGCAGCTGGTTTTTAAAATATTTCATTTCAATCATAAAAAAATTCATAAAATAGTCTATATTGCTGGTCATCTTTTTTCCACTGACATAATATCGAATGGTCCATTTCAGTTTTCATCAACTTCTCTAACTATGTATAGCAGATCTAGTTATGATTTTCAAGTGTCACCTACTGATTCTTTTCTTCAGTATGGCCTTTGATGCCCCTTTCTTAGTGGCAGAAAAGCTCATCGCATAATTCATAATATAAAAACAGATTATAAAAAATTCTTTTTCCCAGTCTAAAAGTTTAAAGGCTACGACCTAATTAAAATTATTTTCATACTTACTCTGACTAGGAATTGGTATGGTTGTATTAGTTTATTTGTCTATGATGGAGACAAAATAATGCAAGAATTTTATTAATTTATTACTTAAGGCCTTTCTACACTTAAATCAGTTCCAAAAGTTGGCTCATCAACGCGCATTGAATGCGCATCAGGTGATTCCACACTACAGTCAGGATCATGTACATTTTGATAGTATTTCTTATCCAGCTACCATGGAATGCACATTCAAAACACATAGAGAGGTGGTTTGAGATAATGCGCATTGAAGTTAATGTGCATCAGGTGTGGAATGTTTGAAACGGTTTCAAACCAGTTCAACACGCATAAGAAGTGCTAGTGTAAAGAGGCCTTAACATTGCACAGTTAGCTTCTGTAAATACAATTATTTTCCATTGCCCCAAATTTGACTTTTGCTGTCAACTTCAATGGACTAGGATCTAATCAAAATAAAGAATGCTTGGCACAATATTCTATACCATTAAAAATGGTTGAAACAATTGCCACATCTGTTCAAAATTAAACCAAATCAATACTGCAGTTGCCACAGCACATTCAAGGTTTATGCCTGATGTTTTGTCACTCTAACTATTTGGACCATCTATTACTAGAAACAATGTAAAAGATTAAAGAGCTCAGCCTCGTAGATTATAAGCTGAAAAAAAGCAGAATCTCTACTTTATGTTGCTTCTAGAAAACTCCTGACTTGTTTGTTACTTTAAGCCTTGCTAAACTGACTTTAAAATAGCCATATTTATTATTAGCGTACTTGTCATGAACAACTAACTATATATTCATTGCATGCTCAGAGCTAAAAAAATGATAATAGGAATTTGTCCAAACCCATATGTGTCACAGCAAGCGAAAATGGTCCAGTTGGCGGGCACGACAGAAAATGAGTTGTTATATCCAAATAAAAGCTTTAAACTTGCTCTTTTCAATGGTGCTTGAGACGCCATCATACGACAATTCTGCTCAGTTATAAGAGCAAGCATCTTGTCTATTGCCACCATTTCAGCAAGGCCACACCAACTAGATTTCTTGTTTCTCCTTGCATACACGGGAAGAATGTAGGCGGGCGGGCGGGCCGAGATATTAATATTCATTAAATTAATTGATTTTAATGGTATTGTTCAAATTATTAAAGCAAGAAAGGAAGCATATAAATATATTCATGTAAGAAAAAGAACAGAATCACTATTTATTATTATTTTTAAACAAATAACTTAGACTAAACAAGAATGAAAATTGAAACTTAAAGCAAAAAGAATAAACCAAGAGGACATTACTATAATAATCATGGTTTTCTCTTGTCAATAGGAGGTTTATTACAACAATTTTCCCATTTGAGATGCTCATTTTCAGCTGTGTATGCTTGAGGTTTAGCACACTATACGCATATTGGTGTTAACTTGGCCGAATAATGGAACACTTCAATCAAAACAAAAATTGTGACCCTTAATTTCCACATCTTTGAATACGTCTTCAAGATTTAACTCTGCTAGTGAAGCCCCACACAAATATTCATAATCATCTAAACCTGACTGTAGATTTCTACACTAGTCAGAATTTAGTTTGTACCAAGAAAATATCAACCGACAATTATCACACTCACTGAATTGAACCATCAGGTTTGACTTTTTCACATGCTGTACTGTAGCATAGAATGGTAAAGTGCGCTTCTTTGGCTTTAGTTGAGGATGCTTTAATAATAGGCGGTGCTTCTCCAAGGTATTTATATCAAAAAAAGCGTACTAGTGTCCATCTTCCATTAAAGTTGGCTGGGGTACATGCTTTATTTTAAAAAAGAATCCGTAGGAATTGTCCTGGTCAATCTTTCTTGATGTTTTAAAAGTTTAGGAACATTTTATCCAACAAAAGGACAAACAGCTGCAGAAATAGGTCTTTGCACTCTCTCAAACACATGGTAAAGTCAAGACACCAGAATAAATCTCTTAATAGAATCACCAACTTCTCACCAAGCAGAAGCTCTTCTTCCAAAAACCCAGCTGAAGATGAAGGAAAATAAAAAATTAATTTATTATATAGTGCATCTTTTCTATTTCTTTGATTGACTGGTGAAACAAAATAAGGGAGAGACTCCTCTTGCTCCTCTTCAGTAATACTTTCTCGTATAGAGGTACACGTAACAGAAACTTTATACTGCAGAAAACATCCAAGCAATGGCACTATGGCAACAGGAGGTAAACTTATGTCTACGAAGAAGAGTGCTTATACTATGTCCCAAATATGCTGGAAGTAAACTAAAATCAGCTGCTCCTCATCGTGGTTTAACATCATTTGCAAAATGTCCAGAGCAGATGACGATTAATTGAACTGTGTCAGTGTCCATGGCAAAATACATTTATTGTTATTACCAATGACACCTGTCGTTACCAATAATAAATTGTGGGACATAGCACTACAAATATAATACATAATGAAAATTAATCAAACTCAACATAAACAACTAACCAACTATAAAACTTCAAATACTTAAAATAAAAGGCACAATAAAAAGAAACACAGCAAAAATACCGAAAAATTAAATAAGGATCTTATAAATTAAACTCGATAGGACAATGCAATGACCAAAAATCATTAAAGTTTGTACAAGTATATCTGCAAACTTTGTGAAAGGAAAAGGAGAGTCTGAGCCTGAGTGAGGCGAGAAAGAGATAATTATTACTGTACCTAATTAAAATCACTAACCACAATTATATAATTAACCAAGGTAACTGAAGAGAATGAGTTCTTGCAAAAAGCAATATCAAAATTTTAAGAAAGAAAAAGAAAGAATCATAGAAACTCATGTGAGTATAATCCCAGCACTAACCACAATAATAATAACGAATATTCATTCAGTGATGAGAGCAAACTCTTGAAACAAAACATATGGAGTCTGAGAGAGTGGGGAGGAGAGAGGGTGGAGAAGAATAGAATATTACTTGAACATTTATATGAAAGTAAAATTAAATCACTAGCCACAATAGACTAGACTTCAAAATGTACGTAAGGAATATCTTGAGGACTAAAGAGAAGGCAAAGACTGAAATGAGTACTGATAAGAGAAGTGAGCTGTAAAATTATAGTAACAACCCGCCTTACTGAGTTTGCACTCTTGCTAGCGCTATTTGGTTGATAAATGATCAGCAAACAGAGACTCTAAAGTGATATATCATGAAATTATGGAAAAAATGGCACATACTACGACACTCTTTCCCCACAACACAGTCTGTGCATGCACTCTTTAACTTTTATGGCATTTTAGCATTATTAAAAATTAGAGGCATCAATGCAGGCTGTTAATGAAAAACAAGGAATCTTATTGGCGTGGCCTAACAGGCGGATCGCAACTGACACCATCTCTTATTTTTTATTTGCACTCTAATTAATGCACATTTAGTCTTATGAATAATTCACACATAAAAACTGAAACTCATTTCTTTTTTCATGTGATACTGACTTATCCTTTTGCTGTTATTCATATAATATAAAGTTATTTTATGTAATTTTTGAAAAAAAAATTATCATAAAGTTAACTTTAAGCAAGATTAACACTTTGTATACATGACTTAATTACGCAAGGGAATGTAGTGGGCCATATTCGTTTTTGCAACTCTATGGATCTGAAAGGCGGTGCAAACTCACCCTCCACTATATGTGACCTCATGTAACTAAATACTTTCTGTGTCCGTGCTTGCGTGCTCGTTGTGGCAGATGTCAAAGAGGTAGCTGTATTACTACTATAATACTTTATGTTATAGTATTGAATCTGCACTTTGTGGCTACATTCTGCACTTTAACATGATATCTGTGTCTTGTTTTAGTGGTAATGGAGAGCAAGTATGTCACATCAAGTTATCACAGGCACAGGTGGAATTTCTGTTTCTTGTGTCGTAAAAAACAGCCACGATATGATAATTTCTGTACTCTGTCTGATAGTGAGAAACAGTTCATGGCCAAGAATTTGTCCCTCACACAGTAATACTAAATGATGCATGTATATGTTGTTTTCATAGAAAAGAGGCAAGACGGTATCATTCTGATCCAGAATATATCCCACGGTGGAAACAAAAGGATAAGAATAATGTTTTCATCTACCGAGAATGTACTGTTACATGACAAAATACCAAAACAATAACTACGTCACAAAGAAATATGATAGAATTAATTCTTTTCACGTTAAATATAACAAAATGATGATACTGGGATGTCATTATGTGACAGACGCTACCAAATGTTTTACAGAATATTAAATACTTACAATCCCTGTGCTAGCTGTGGGGCCAAACCAAAGGTGAGAGAAGGGCCATACTTCAGACATAGCCCAGATCTAAAACTTATTTGTGGTTTTATGAATGAGTGAACAGAAAGTAACAAGAACGTAACAAAAAAAGACAATTTGCAATTCATGCTATGACATGCATAATGCAATAGTAAATAGCATAAAAGAGGGAAAAAATCAGGAAAATGTTAGACTACAGTGAAGTATTAACACTTGGTCATTGCAAATGGAAAAGCAATCAACAGATAACCTTACAAAGTGTATCTCTTATCAACTGTAATTTTTACAGGCAAAAAAGTACATGAAGGAAAAACACTCTT